GATAAAACACCGCTAGACTATTTTCTTTGCGACTATGTAAAGTCATTGGCCTATGCGGATAAGCCACAAACGCTTGACCATTTGGAAGACAACATTCGCCATGTTATTGCCGATATATGGCCACAAATGTTGGAAAAAGTCATCGAAAATTGGACGTCCAGATTGGACTACATGCGAACCAGCCGTGGCAGTCAAATGCCAGAAATCATATTGAAAATGTAATGCCACAAGAGTATCTTTCGAAAAAAAGTTCATGTCAATCGAATAATCCATCGTTGTTTTATTGCAATTTGAAGTTCTAAACCTCTACAAAAAACCCTTTATATGTAAAGTCGGTTTTTTTAATTTTTTGTAGAGCCCCGAAGAAGTTTTTCCGAAACTTTGTAATAGGAAACTGTGTTTCATTTTACCGCAAATCCAACTGGTCACGGAAAATTTATATAATTATTAATGTCTTATAGTAATTATATTCAATGCACGCCGATAAACCAAAGTCTCAATACACAAAATTTTAAAAAATAGTATAGTAATGTACCACAAAGCCCTACCCTTTGTCGGTAAATGTCAGTTTTATGAAATCTCAATCATCTTAGTGAAAGCTGATATCCGCACCAGATTTGTCCCAGTGATGCTTTTTGGTCGAGGAATGAACGAATTATTTTAAATAAATGAAGGTTTGTCAATGTATGACATATTCCACTTTTGCAACCAGAATCAAATATGCCAAAATGCCAAAATCCAATATTGCATCCGTAATAAAATTGATTATTGGGGATAAAAAACGAAACTTCATATTGAAATTCTAATTATGCCACCTTGTAGAGGAGAAAAAACGGCAACCTCAATGTGCAATTTGTTTTGAAATCCCACCTCAAGTAAACTCAGATAGTAATAACGATTTTCGTAATTCCTTTTTATTCCCTTTCCGGAAATACTCTGAATTATCAAACTTTCTAGGTGTCATTTATGTCATTTACCTAAATGCACCACCTTGCCCCCCACCAAACGTATCAGGTTTCGACGTCCCAGTGGTAAAAATCGAATTTAAAACACCCGGTATATTGAAACGCCTCTCTTAAGATTATATCACGTCTATCTATAAATAGCCAAGTAAGCCATCAATATTTATACCGAAACTCCTTTCAACGGGATAAACTCCAACAAAAATGATGTGGGTCTATACATAAATTTATATTTGCGGTAAGCTTGAAAATGAACTTGAATAACTTCATTTAAAGTTGAGCTGTTCGCAAGATCGATTAAAAGAGCTTGCCGGGGCAATTTCCTCTTGAAAATACTCTATGAGACAGCTTATTCAGGGCGAACCGATGAAGTGGATCAAAGCAGTTTGTTTAGCTTAGAAGAGAGGATTTATTAACGTAGAGTGCCTCCAGATTAACGTTAACTATAAAAACAGGTATTGTTATCAAAAATATATACTACAGAGAAAATGTTCGAAAAAATTAGCACTGCAATTAATGGTAGAGCTCTGATATTATATTTCTTCACGCTTGATAGCCATCTTCGAAAATAAGTCCCATAATTAACGCAAGATTTAAATTTGCCGCCAGGTTTGCAGTAAATTGTAGGCAGCCCTCAAAAAACAAGAATTTGATATCTGAGAGGTCAGGATTAGTAAAAATGGAGAGCTATACGGTACAGTAACGTATTTTCATTGTTGAATAATGTTTAAAAAATAATGAAAATTCAACGGCAGCAGTTGGGAAAAAATTTACAAAATATGGCCGGAATAGTATATTAATCTTGTCGACTCTAAAAAGATCATTGAAAATTTCAGGAAGACTGGATCAGAAAGGCGCTAAAGACACCGATCGTTCAAAGTCAAGCCATTCAAATGTCCCAAACACCAGTTTATGGAGTAGTAACCTTTATTTTGTACCTTACGTTTAGTTGCTTTGGTTTGGGTGCTACCCCGTCCATCTTCTAATGGGAGTTCAACCTCCAACGGTATTCTCTTTTGTATACCATCGGACCACGTCCACTAAACATGTTCTGAAAAAGTTTGTTAAATATCTGCTTCCTTTTAGTGGAAATGCATTGCGGCGAACCACCATTCACACTACTCCAGCTTTGTTTTGTTGCTGTCTTGTAGCGGTTTCGCAGCCAAGTAGAGTTTCCCGGCATTATAATACTTATTAATGATCACATTCAATTCGATACCCTTAACTAGGTTTACTGAATCGTCATGAAAATGTAGTGAGTAGTTGGCGTCAAGTAGGTCGACTCTGCACCTCCCACGCAGCGCCGTCATCAGTTCATAACAGATTATGTTGAGCAGAAGTTACAGCTCATTGAAATAAGTCAATGCTATTGCTAGATAGAGGATTGTTGGAATGATTTTCTTCGTTGGTCCAGAGACCAGGTCTAGACCATGCTGATGAGTTTCCAAAAAACACGAAACAGCTGTCAATCGTTGGATGCTCTTGGACGGATGGATGAAGGCATGTTTAAGTAAGACCCACTTAGAAAGTCAAAAGGATCACGTCCGTCGAACAGGTCCATACAGTAGAACACGTAATATAGGGGAAAATCTACGATGCGTGAAATACGAGCCCCTTCCCACTTCAGTTGGCCCACTTCAAGATTTGTACCAAAATATGCCTTTATAAACTACACATAACGAAACTATTTGCTTCTAAACCAATTTATTTTCTCAAAAACATTTTAGATACAATCTAGTCGTAAAAAATACATCGTCGTCTGAATGCAGAACTATTGTATGTCCAAATTCTTCATTTTTCAGATTTTAACACGTCATGTGACGTGTAGGTCATAGTCACCTACATTGCATGCAGAGGTATTGTAAGTCCCTGCGCAAGAGTTCCCCCACCACTGGTCTTGAACGATATTAGGCGTAACAGCTTAAGGCGCGTCATTTTGCCTCAGAACTATGACTGGAGCAGATAATCACTTACAGAACTACTGTAAGTCCAATGTCAACAAAAAATATAAGTCGACTTTCACGGACTTGTCATACTTTTTTTCCGGTAAAACATTCTATGTCCAAATTTCTCATTAATGTTAGGCAAAACACAAACACGAAAAATAGCTCTCCCGTAAGATTTGCATTTTGTGACTTAGAATACTTCTGCATTCAAGCGATGACATATTTGAAATCACTTAGACCTATAACTAATAGAACATCTGAACAAATAAACAATGTGCGAATAAATGCGCGAAGTTAACAAAGCAACAATTGAAAGATTACCATTGGGTAACATCACATTTATTTTTTATTAAGGCCGAAATTCTTTGGGGCATAGTGTTAACCAAGTTTTGGCAAACATTTGTTGTAAGACAATCCCATATTTCTTGAAGCTTTTGTCTCAGTTCGGTGATTATACGAGCAGGATGTTGTTGTAGAACCTTTTTCATCTCGTGCCACAAAGTTTCAATAGGTGACAGTTCTGGACTGCTAGAAACCCATTTCAAAAGTGGTACATTATTTTCTTCCATCCATTTTATAGTCCTTTTTGAGGTATGGCACGCTGCACCATCTTGCTGAAACACAAAATCTTGGCCGGATGGCAAACATTCTTCCATCACTGGTAAAAGCGATTCTTCTAAAATTGCCAAATATTTGTTTGTATCCACATTTCCATCGATAAAATGAAGTTTTCCTACTCCTTTTGATGACATACTGCCTCAGACCATAATGGATGCTGGAAATTTCACTTTCCTCTTCAGACAGTCAACATGGAATGCTTCATTTTTTTGCGAATAACTCTACTGCGACTGTCACCAACACAAACTTCGAATCGAGCCTCATCACTCCATTATATTGCACACCATTGTTGAGGTGTCCATTGTCTATGTTCTTCAGCCCAGCTAAGCCGATTTTTCTTTTTCAGTGGAGTTAATAGTGGCTCTTCTTTGGCCTATAAACAAGTTGTGCAACTTTAGGGTTTTTACTTCATTTTTTTTATAAGAAAACTTACCTTGCAAGTGCTAAATGCCAGTTTGTGGGCCTCTCTCTGAGTTGTGGACTTCGAAATTCTCCTTCCAACAGCGTCACACCACAGAGCACTTAATTGTAAATAATTGGCGCGCCTGTTTTTCACGATTTCTTTTTTTAATGCTCTTCGGTCGGCATTTGTGATATTACTTTTTTTCACATATCGGGGCTTAATATTAACTGAACCAGTTACGTTATATCTTCTAACAATATTTCTCACACTGTAGCGCGATAAGTCTAACAAAGTGGCAATTTCTGAGTTTGATTTCCCAGAATTAAAAAATTTAATTATCAGTAACCGAATTTTTTCACTAATAACCTTTCCTCTACCCATTTTGAAAACCTTAACTACCCAAAACTATTTTAAACGTATTGTGACAGCTGTGATTAATAAAAACAATTGTCATGGCTTTTACTTTTCACAGCCACCTATGCGTTATAGACTTATTTTGCATTGAAATGAAAATAGGTTGATATGCTGTAATTGCAACATGTGTTATTTTTCTGCTCCAAATTTGATTAGGGAGTGATAAAGTTGGTGTTTTCAACTATATACATATTATCAAAACATTCATTGTTAATATTTTAAACCTATAACACTGCTACATTTTTTTTATTTGTGTTTGATAAGAAAAAATCTAAGATTTCAATAGCTGGGCCAAATGAAGTTGGAAGGGGCTCGTATACCTGATACGTGCGAAGAATTACCGGAGCTGGAAGTGTAGTAATACGCTAACATCAAAAAATTGAGATATAGCCTCGTTCGCCGCCCTACAAACCCCCACCTCCCATTTCTTTGTCATTAAAATTTGTTTTAAAAATGTTTTAAATTGTTTTTAAAAATAGCATTTATCTCCGCTCTTACTTATACATCCAAATCCGAGCAGTCCTTTGCAAGTTATAGACGGGCCAAGCATTTACGACAGGCCTATAGGTAGACCGACAAACAGGATGATAGACAAACCAACAAACAGACCGACGTGATATATGTGACATATGTCATTTTCGAAATTTTTCGCGGTAACAGCAATTCCTTGCCAGTAGACGTGGGGTGTAAAAGTATTTAGTATCCGATAAATAAGTGAGAGACTGATCTATATTCTATTTATTCATACTGGTCTACAAAACCCCCACACCAAAATCTAGCTAATTCAAGAAATTCTTAGACATACTCTGACACTATAATAAAATCAATCCATAGCGTTGTAGTTATTCTTTTATCCTGCAAAAAAATAGGGAAAACACAAATGTCACGAGGATGATCATATTACTCTTTGCCGTCTGAGTGCCTATTATACTGGTTCATTTTGATGCATCTATTATATTATACCATATTGCTTCAAGAATTGACTAATACCGGAATGCATGCTATGAATTTTTGGTATATCAGGCAGTTCATCTATTCTATTTACGTAGACTTCTTGTGCTCATACTTAAAATATACGATATCGCAATTCTTAATTTCATCCTTCTTCCGCTTTATCTCATTTCTCTTCATATTATTCCCACAGTACGCAATACCTTTAACTCTCCACTCTTGACTGTCTTCATCCCATAACAGACCAGACTTCACCTTATTTATGAACTCCTTTGGCACATAGTTGTTCACCACGAAGTTCACCAGTGCCATTTCTTTAGCCAAGGCCTTGTTTGTAGCCAACAAAGAGCTGATTTCGTTTTGATATTCACATTCCTTTCTCACTAGTATTTCAGTAGCTTTGACCATAAGCTTTTCGCTTTCTGAAATTCTTTGGTCTAACTCCTTATCTTCTTCTTGTAAAGTCGCATATTTCCTTTCAACTATAGTCTTCTCTTTGCCTTTGTAGTAAAGTATCTCCTCTAGCAACAGGTGGGAGCTATCCAAATGCTCTAGCTCTCTCGCTGTATCTTCCAGCATCTCCATCTGTTGCTGGGCTTTCTCAATAAGATTTTCACCACCAACTAAAATCTTTTTCTGAATAATATATATCTTATTCTCCAGCATGCTCTTCTCCAGTTCTATATTCTCAAGCTCTAAAGAATTATTCATTTTTTTCCTTTCTTTCTTCTTTTCCTTCTGCTCAGCTACAGTGAGGTCAGCTAGCTGCAGTCTCAATTCACCAATCTTGCTTTCTAAGCTGTCAATAAGACTCTGCTTCTCAGAATTGATGTGTACTCGATTCTGTATATGCTTCACTCTATCAGCGTACATAAGAGTATATAAGCTTTCTTCGTAGTCCAAAATATTTGGACTGATCATGGCGACCATTGCAGTCAAAGAATTACCGCCAAGAGAGTCTTGGAGTAATCTAGTCAGCTTGGAGTTTCTGTAAGGTATGTGCGAACTTTTACCATCAACCAGAGCTGATATAACGTTTCCCAAGATGGACAAGGACATGTTGATTTTTCCAGCTTCTCTAAGTCTATCACCTGTAGCTTGCGTTTTATTTACCCTTTCAGATCCCGCTAGGTCCACAAGGTTCAGTTTTCCGAATGTAGTTTTATTGGTGACCTTGTTTTTAGATTCTATCGAAACAGTGAATATAGCGTGTGATCTAGAGCTTGAATCATTGAGCTTTGTCGCGCCAGTTGAGCGATTTTTATTACCTTTGGTCAATATTTCATCGACTGTCTCAAGAGAATTCACAGTAAAGCCTAGTAGATCTTTTACGTAAACTCCTACCCCAGGCTTTTCTTGAACCTTGAGCTTCTTCGTCGGATCATCAGATAACAGATCCCTGATATCTTCATTGTATATCTCCAAGTAGGTTACGGTAACAGCATAAGAAATGTCATGGTTTGCCAGACTGATCTGTGCAAATATGTGTGAAAATATATTGGGTACTATGCCTTTTTGGTCCGAGTTTTTAATATCACCGATCATGGTGTGTGTCTTGCCTGTACCGGATTGCCCATAAGCAAAAATCGTACCATTGTAGCCTTTCAGTACCTTTTCTACGATGGGTACTGCGATGCATCTGTATAGATCCACTTGGGTACTTTCCTCACCGAATACTTTGCAAAACTGAAAGGTTCGGCTTATGTTGGACTTGAGAAGTTGTAAGACATTCCTTTCCAAGTGGATGTATCTCTTGTTGTTCAGTGTCTTCTCTGATTCTCTTAGGGGACGAATTCGTATGAATACTCTGACGTTTTCAACTTCTTCTTTTGGTGGGATTTCGTCTAAATCGATTATCATGTTGACAGTCAAACTAATGTAAAATGTCAGTAGCTTCCTTCAGAAGTGACTCAGTGTCAGTTTGGAAGTAAAAGTGTCAAAACTAGGACATAATAACCTACTTAAGATATTTTCACACTTTCGCATTTTGGATGATAGCGTCATAGTCCGTATTTGCGATTTGAAATTGCTGTGCGGTGCTTAAATCTGGTAAGATAAACAATTTTACTCTTTCATTTTGCCCTTATTCAGCTTCTACGAGCCCCTTCCCACTTCAGTTGGCCCACTTCAAGATTTGTACCAAAATATGCCTTTATAAACTAAACATAACGAAACTATTTACTTCTGAAACAATTTATTTTCTCAAAAACATTTTAGATACACTCTAGTCGTAAAAAATACATATTTGAAATCACTTAGACCTATAACTAATAGAACATCTGAATTTGGTCTAAAACAATCCCATATTTCTTGAAGCTTTTGTCTCAGTTCGGTGATTGTACGAGCAGGATGTTGTCGTAGAACCTTTTTCATCTCGTGCCACAATGTTTCAATAGGTGACAGGTCTGGACTGTTAGAAACCCATTTCAAAAGTGGTACATTATTTTCTTCCATCCATTTTATAGCCTTTTTGAGGTATGGCACGCTGCACCATCTTACTGAAACACAAAATCTTGGTCGGATGTCAAACATTCTTCCATCATTGGTAAAAACGATTCTTCTAAAATTGCCAAATATTTGTTTGTATCCACATTTCCATCAATAAAATGAAGTCTTCCTACTCCTTTTGATGACATACTGCCCCAGACCATAATGGATGCTGGAAATTTCACTTTTCTCTTCAGACAGTCAACATGGAATGCTTCATTTTTTTTGCGAATAACTCTACTGCGACTGTCACCAACACAAACTTTGAATCTGGCCTCATCACTCCATTGTATTGCACACCGTTGTTGCGGTGTCCATTGTCTATGTTCGTTAGCCCATCTAAGCCGATTTTTCTTTTGCAGTGGAGTTAATAGTGGATTTTCTTTGGCCCATAAACAAGTTGTGCAACTTTAGGGTTTTTACTTCACTTTTTTTTATAAGAAAACTTACCTTGCAAGTGCTAAATCCCAGTTTGTGGGCCTCTCTATGAGTTGTGGACCTCGAAATTCTCCTTCCAACAGCGTCACTCCCCAGAGCACTTAATTGTAAATAATTGGCACGCCTGTTTTTCACGATTATTCTTCTTAATGCTCTTTGGTCGGCATTTGCGATATTACTTTTTTCCACATATCGTGGCTTAATACTAACTGAACCAGTTACGTTATATCTTCTAACAATATTTCTCACACTGTACCGCGATAAGTCTAACAAAGTTGCAATTTCTGAGTTTGATTTCCCAGAATTAAAAAATTTAATTATCAGTAACAGAATTTTCTCACTAATCTTAACTACCCAAAAGTATTTTAAACGTATTCTGACAGCTGTGATTAATAAAAACAATTGCCATGGCTTTTATTTTTCACAGCCACCTATGCGTTATAGACTTATTTTGCATTGAAATGAAAATAGGTTGATATGCTGTAATTGCAACATGTGTTATTTTCATGCTGCAAATTTGATTAGGGAGTGATACAGTTGGTGTTTTCTACTATATATTACCGAAATATTCATTGTTAATAATTTAAACCTGTAACACCCCGCTACATTTTTATTATTTGTGTTTGATAAGAAAAAAACTAAGATTTCAATAGTTGGGCCAACTGAAGTGGGAAGGGGCTCGTATTAAGGACCCCTCCAGAAATGTTTTGATTATGTATCGTATCCAACGAATTCAGATAGATTAGAAAGAGCCAAGCATATATGCTTACATTCCATTATTTGTCGCTAAATTTGTATAGTAGTGTTTGTTTGGCTAACTGAACTACCATTGTCTACCAAATATACATCGGCGTTCATTATTTTCTCTAGAAAGGATATTCAAGTAACTATTCGTATATGTAAATTACTCAGTATCGTTAATAAACAGGGATAGATTAAATACGGCAAAGAAACGAAACTAAATGAACTGCAAAGCGCAGCTATAGTGCCACCAACAACTTTCGGCATTCTTTGGCTCCATTTAAGTTTAACTTAATACTAGCATAGCTTACAGGGATGGTAAAACACACAAAAATAATAAATATTGAGCTTATTCTAATTGATTTAACAAATTTTTTTCTGTAAGTTATTTAAAGCTAAATTTAAACTACTTAGATAAAAAACAAAAATGGTTAGTGAGGCTATAGTTATTTATTGATGGTAGCGCATATGTACAAGTTTGTGAAATTCAAGATTTTGGAATGTGAAAGATACGAAACATTCCCTCCATCAAATAACAACAATGGCAGAATAGCTCATATTGGAAATCGTGTAACACTTTCCACTCGGTTTTTCTAAATAGCTGTCATGGACCGGGCAGATTCTTGGCTCAAAGCCAATACGTAGTTGAGCATAACGACAATGTCTGCTATTGTCTGCCATTATGTCACTGTCACTACATTTATCCAATTTTGGGTGTATTTTAATTAATTTGATATTCACAGTTTTTTTTTTAGACGCACTGAGCTTGTGGCACGAAAAGGAGATCGCAAAATTATTGGTTATATCGCGAAAGTATCTTTCCTAAGAACTTTTAAATAAAAAACTGAAGTAGATAAAGTTAAATTCTAGTTCAGTTCAGTTGGATTAAAGTTGCTGTTTGCCCTTTTCAACATGCTCCAAAAAATTTGGCTTGTCTCCACTACTTTGCATCTTTCATTGTTCTTGTTAGGAACACAAATCTATTAACAAGCCTTAGATTGGGACTGAGTACTTGAAACAAGTGAAACGAAATAAATCAAAATTACCTCACAAGTGTCCAGGTAAAAATGCCTAATGTTGAAGTTTACAACGCCGATGACTATAATTTCACTAAAAAAATCTGCTTTTATTTAATATAAACTGCTTTTTGCAATCCACAGAAACCTCCTTTCCAAATGCGTATTTCCGTGCGAAAACGGATAAACGTGCGTGGGTTTCCATACAGTCCTAGTGTTCCAGATAGTTGCCTAAAATGTAAAAAAATCTGCTTGAGCTGAATAAAAGCAGCAGATTTTTATCGATAAGTACTAGATTGCAGTCATCGTCGTCGCGAAAAGCCGTATGGTATATCTCAACATTAGGCTTTTACCTGGACACTTGTGTGGTAATTTTTGTACACTTCATGCCACTTCTTGTTTCTTTGAGTACTCAGTCCCAATCTAAGGTTTGTTAATCACATTTCTTTGAAGCTAAATGTTCTTAATAAAGGTCTTTATCTTCGCGTTACAAATTCTAATTTTACGGTTTCTCATTTTAGTGTCACAAGATTCTATTGAGTAAGCTCATCACACTCCAAAAAAAAATATAAGAAATCGAACCAATGAAAGAACTTGCAAAGCTTTTACTAGATAAATATAGTGACAATGTTATGACAGCAGATGAATTACGCAGATTTGTTCGTTTGCTGTACGGTTGTCACACTTAGTGTTGAATAGAAAATGTTCATCGTTTATAATTCGTTCACTCATATCTTCACAAAATTGTAATCGCCGATCAAAATCGTCTTCATTAAGTTCTTGTACCAGGTGAATTTTATACGGATGAAAACTATGGGCCTTTAGAATCCGTTGGACAGTACGTCGACTAACACCACACACACAGTCTCCAATTTGCGGGTACTTAACGTAGGATCTACATAAACTTGCCCTTAAACCCCCACTTCTATTTGCTTCGTTCCTTATGGGATTTTCAATGAAGCTTTTTTTATTGGCGACTGGCCCAGTTTCCCGAAATATCGCTACAAGTTCTAGAACATATTTTCGATGCACATTACTGTTCTCATGTCGCTCATTAAATATTTCTGCTGTTCTATTAGCGCACTGATTATTTCCGAAAAATATTTCGATAATTTCAACTCTTTCTGCTGTGGAATATACCGTGGTTAATTTATGTAATAAAGCGTTACAAGTTATTTTAGCAACAAAGTTTGGTCAAATTAATCGCAAACTATGTACTAAATTCCTATTTAAAATAAGTACGAGATATTTCCTTATCTTTCTTCAAGAAATATATAACTTTTTTGCCACAAAAAAAAACGCTCCAATAGCTATTTTCAACAACAAAATGGTAAACAAACCATGGGCGTAGTGAAGAACAGCATTAACTTATTAAGTAAATTCTTTCAGTTAAATTTCTTCTGACAGTAGTACAAACTAATCTGATGTACGTATTAAAGTCTACTTTAAGCTTTAAATCAATAAATCTTCAAAACTACTCAACAGAAGCTCATGTATTTTACATCATTATAAAGGGAACTGAAAGACCTTTAAGGTATCACGCGACCCCCCTTTCCATTTAAGATTTTAGGGTTGGTGTCACCCCCGCCCAGGAGGCTGAACGTGTTAACGTGATTTTTTGCCAAACTTGTGTCCCCCTCGAGAACAAATTCGACGGGTCTGAGCGTTTTTCCAAAAAAAAAACTGAGCTGCCAGTAAATGCGTCTGTTCCGTTTTGGATTCGCCTCCCTGTATATTGACAACGCGACAGATTGCCACATCAGCGTTGCCAGGAATCGCGGTGATGAGCTTCGCTATTCAGGCGGCTTGTGTCTATACACTTCTCTCTCGTAAATATTGAACTCAAGCCTTCATACAAATTTGGTTCTCAGTGTATACTGCCCAGTGCCCATGTCTTGAATATATTTCTATCGTACATATATTTTTCCAGCAAATTATATTTGTCAGTTTGCTATGTGATTTTTTGAGGGATTTGCATACCTACTTGCTAGACTTACTTTCAATTTCTATTTTGTTGTATTATACACGTCTCAGTTTTAGGTAATATTTTCATACAGATTTTTATTGAGGAAAGTAACTTATTTGATTTGATACTGTCTTCATCGAGCTAGGTACAATTTGTTATGTTTATATGTCAACATGTCTTTGGTATCGGTGGTTGCATGAAAGAGCAACAATGTTCAATGTCGCCCCCAGATCTCCTCTTGTAACTGAGACCAAATATAATACACATACTAGTACGACTACGTAATTCTGGTGACGTATACTGCCATGTAAACATAAAGATTTGGCTTCTTCTAACCTATTCGAGTTCGTTGAACCAAACAAAGACTAGATCGCCTTTGTCTAGACAATAATGGAAATTTTCGGTAGAATAAAAAAATATCGTTATTATCACAGATCCCAGCATAATCCACAAAGCCAAGTCACGCAACTTGTGTGGCACGTCGGACTTTGATAAACTACGACCGACTGGCCAAATATTGAAAGAATTGCTAGTAAGGAGAGTCAATGACGAAGAATTTTTTCGTCGTGATCGTAATTCTAGGGGCTATTCTTACAATAATTAGCTATTACAATTTGAGTCGGGACAACTGGAATGTGAAAGGATTTCATTCGTTATTGGAGACTAGATCAAGGAGTCACATATCTTCAACAAAAGCTCAAACAGGTGAGAAACTCAGTACTTCCCATATCAACCTTGTTCGATTAATAAAATGTTTTATAGTAGAGGAAGGTACCCAAAGTCTGGCCCGTCCCCTAAAACGGATCCCTGGTCTCATTAGCTTCACATTCTCAGAAATTCTATGATATACAAGTGTAAATAGTAGCTTAGCCCACGATTATGTTTCAGGTATTTGGAAGTATGGGCCTTTATACATACATATTTTTTTCTAATTAAAAGATTTTAGGTTCGTCTTTTTCATGCAATTGTTTCATTTATATGTTTGAATTGAGCTTCACTGGATAAAATAGGTTTTTGATTTAGTTGCGCAAACTAGACCTATCCAAAAAAAAATCAATTAAGACCAGTTAATGTTCTTTCGGATGTTGGGAAATTGTTAGAATTATAGTTGATCAAATGTTGGAGAAACAAAATCTTAGCTGAAACTCGAGCAGGATTTGGGAATACATTTTCCACATACTCAGCTAGATAATACTAAATAAAAATAAATGTACGCCAATCAAACGAAAACTCAGTACGTGAAGATGGCTTAACACTAAAGTTTCATTAATTACCCGGTCATGATTTTTATTTATAGGAAGAAAAAATATTGCCATCATGTCTATCTGTAAATGCCCACTGTCAATTTTATGATACCAGACATCATGCTTGATTTTCATTTAAACGCAATAAAACGCAGTGAATGTGAAATCTGTTTTCAATCAAGGCTTAATGGATTTCAACAAATAATATTCAGGCACCAAATTGTGCCTAGAAAATGTAAATCAAAAGTGAGAAACTCAATTCTGTTAGAATTGCAAATATGACGATTCATGATATGGCTTGAATCTATTATTATTGATATGTATTAGTTCCAATTGCTTATGTAGCCATTTGTGCTAAGTAAATATTTCTACTAATGCGACTACTATAGTTCTTTTCACGGTTTTTGCCAGTTAGGCCACAATGACGTGCGAAATAAGTGAGCATGAGCGGAGCTTAACTTCCCTTAAGGAGATTACACACTGCACATGCCAATCCTGAACGCAACTGCTTCTCGCTCTTGCACACGTGAATTGGGTGATGGGGACAGTTCACATTCATTTTCTAAATTTTTTCCAATAGTTTTAACACAGACTGTCGACGTTGCAGTTGTAGCTTCAGGCATTACTACCTTCTACATGGAAGAGTAAAAAAAGATGAACGCTCATGACAAGTAAGTTGTCGTAATGACAGTTACAAGCATAAATGTGGAATACGCAACATGTACGTAGTCATGCCATAAGTTCTGTCCCTCGTTTTCAAACAAGTGTAGACCTGTTAATACTTGTCCGATTGTTTACATTGTGGTGTCAGTTGATTAAGCGCTTTTCGGGTAATTACATATACCTCAGTTTGTATTGATCTCTCGAAGCATAACGATGGAGTGGGGCAAGGCAGAGAACCGTATTGCAGTGATAGCTTTACATAAGCGTAATCACAGTGCTAGTCAGATTTTTGAACTCTTACGCGGCCTTCAAATATCGCGTAAATTTGTGTCTAGGACCATTCAGCGGTACAATGAGACGTCCTCTGTTGATGACAGGCCAAGAAGAGGAAGACCTCGTCAAGTAAGGACTCCAGCAGCCATCAAAGCCGTAAAAGCCAGGATTCAAAGGAATCCACTCCGGAAGCAGAAGATCCTATCCAGGGAAATGAAGATTCCTGTCCGGACAATGTCGCGCATCATTAAACAAGACCTAGGGCTAGGGGCTTACCGGAGACGTACGGGCCAGCGACTTACGGCCACCTTGCGACACATCAGGGCGACAAGATCCAAGAAGCTCTTGGAGAGGTACGCAGCTGGGGGATTCCGAAAGATTTTGTTCACGGATGAGAAAATCTTCACCATAGAAGAAAAATTCAACCGACAAAATGACAAAGTGTATGCAAGGAGTTCACAGGAAGCTTCGGAGATCATTCCGAGAGTTGAGAGAGGCCACCACCCTGCGTCAGTCATGGTTTGGTGGGGGGTGTCCTACGAAGGGGTCACTCAGCTCCATTTCTGTAAACAGGGCGTGAAAACAAAAGCGGCAAACTATCAGAGCGACATACTGGATCCTATCGTCAAGCCTTTAAGTGGTACATTGTTTGCCAACCAACACTGGGTCTACCAGCAGGATTCCGCCCCCGCTCACAAGGCTAAGAGTACGCAGCGCTGGCTGGAAAGCAATGTGCCAGAGTTCATTGCTGCGGAAGATTGGCCCTCAGGGAGTCCGGACCTCAATCCTTTAGACTACAAGTTGTGGGACCTGCTAGAGCAGTTGGCCTGCTCCAAAGCCCACCGTAATATCGAGTCCCTGAAAGCGGATTTGATCCGATCAGCGGCAGCTATTCCTTTGGAAGCTGTGCGTGCAGTGATAGATGAGTGGCCCGCGAGATTGAAGCAGTGTGTGAAGGCCAAGGGGGGACATTTTGAATAAAACTGTTTGATTATGAATTCTAAAAATGTTGTCGAATAAATAATATCTTTCATATAAATATATCTTATCTTGTTTCATTTTTATCATGAGATTATCATGGGACAGAACTTATGGCACGACTACGTATAACAGATAAACTAAACAAGTCAGTCAAACAGTAGGCCTATACTATTAGTCCAAAGACGTTCTTCCCCTACCCTACCAGAAGTACCGTCCATCTAGCAGCATCGCCGCACCCCTTTATCTGACCCTACGACGCGTCAGGCACAGCACAACAGCAGTAATGCTGCTACAGTCTATGATGTAAAGTATGTAGATACCAACCTCAAAAAATACATTTTTTTCTGAAAATTATCTGACTTCTATCTTCTCCGCCACTACTGGACCAATTTTCAAAAACCAAATATACTTTTCGTCTCTGATACAGTAGCAACTTTATGTGAATATTTCATCCCAATCTGAGCGGTACTTTTCAAGTTATCGATGGGCCAACAATTAGCGGACAGACTGACAGACAGACAGACCGACGAAAATGAGTGACAGGATTTTCCGTAATCTAACATACCTGTCATATAGCATCCAAAAACATAATACCTCATTTTCGGAATGGTTCTCGAAAAGTGTAAAGTTAATTATGAGTTGACATCACAAGGCAAATGTTCCACTCCATAAAATCGTATTTTTTGTTGCTTGTCATACTTTTAAATCAATGAAATAATGTGGGTCCTATTTTGAGCACCTTCCCATATTTTATGTGGACAACTGAAATAAAATTTGGGATGTTCCGCAGTAGCACAATGTATAATCTTTTTCAACAAAAAACTTGGAAGCATGTATTGAACACACGTCTACAAAAAACTGCCTGTCAAAGGTAAAATTAAGCCACGGTGCAAATACCGGTCTGCGGTCAAATGACTATACTACAACTATTTAAAACTGTAATGACTCATACGCGTGATCAACACGTGATCAGAGCTCGATCCCGGCTTCCTTCCAGTACAGCCGTATAGCGTACGACATATGTCGGTTCTGTGGCTTTGCGGTGATCAACAGCACAGACAGAGATGGAAATAATGGCTGATTGTTCTCCGCCGGTAGAACCAACGAAAACAAAGACGCGCTTCGACCGGTAGACTCATAGGCGTCGGCAACGCATTGGAACGTGTTTCGTTGAGCGATCGCATATTGTGTGTTTTTATAAGAATTGTTGTGTGATTGTTATTGTTGTGGTTTCTGTGGTTACTGTTTTGGTTACACTTAACCATGGAGAGTACAAATGGCACGAGTGGAAGTACTGAAAGCCAGGGAACAAGTAGACGGCTTCGTAAAGCACTGAAGAGGGACGCGAAAGAAAAAGTGCTCAACGTGTTCAATTATCTGAACAGCACTATGTCGCAGGGAGATGCACTCGCGCGTTGTGAAAGTATGACAGGCGTTCCAGAGTGGACCATTCGCAGGGTGGTGCATGAAAAGAAGTAAACTGGAGCTACTACTGATCCAAAGTTTAATTTGAAGGGACGAAGGGCCGTTAAATTGGATGACGATAGCAAAATGGCGTTTAGGCGAACCGTATATTCATTCTTCTTTAGGAATGAGATACCAACCCTCAAGGCTGTACATGCAGCGATCAAGGAAAATGAAATTATACCCCAAATGAGCGTCGAGGTAATGAGGAAATCCCTGCACGAAATTAATTTTCGTTACGAAACGCGTAATCGGAAGTCAGTATTGATAGAGAGACCTGAAATAGCCGCCTGGCGTCGAAATAACCTACGAGAAATGATTGAATATAGGCGACAAAGCAGAAAAATCTATTATTTGGACGAGACATGGGTAAATGCAGGTCACACAGTTAAAAAAACCTGGATAGACAAAAACGTAGTGAGTAACCGACAAGCAAGCATTGAAGGTTTGTCAACAGGTCTTCGTGGACCGTCAGGGAAAGGTCAAAGATTGATCGTAACTCATATTGGTAGCGATAGTGGCTTTTTAGAAGAGTGTGACTTGATTTTCGTCTCTAAGAAAGGAGGTGATTACCATGACGAAATGAATGCCAGCTGCTTCGAGAGCTGGTTTCAAGGGTTGCTTCAGCGAGTTGAGCCCAACTCTGTGATCGTCATGGATAATGCTTCCTACCATAGTCGTCGAGCCGAACGTGTATCGACTATGGGATCTCGAAAAAGTGACATGCAGCAATGGTTGCGCGAAAAAGGAATCCCGTTTGACGATTCATGTGTGAAAGCGGAATTGTATGAAAAAATTAAACAGCACAAACCTGCGAACATTAGTTACGTGACTGATGAGATGGCCCGTCAATGTGGTGTCACTGTGCTGCGGTTACCGCCCTACCACTGTGAACTGAACCCAATAGAGCTCATCTGGGCTCAAGTGAAGGGTTATATTGCGCGCCATAACACAACCTTCAAATTACCAGACGTTAAGGTTTTACTTGAGACTTCCATACAGCTAGTAACGCCCGAAGCTTGGCAGAATGCTATCCGTCATGTTGTGAAGGAAGAAACAAAAATGTGGCAGCTTGACCACCACATCGACACCATCATAGAGCCAGTTATAGTCAATTTCAACGAGGAAAGCGATAGTGACAGTTTATTACTGTCAGATGTAAGTGGAAGCGACGATGAATAAAGGTAATTCCCAAATTTTTGACTTATATCCACTCTTTATTAAGCATGTGACAAATCTAGTTCACCCATGTTAAACATTCATACCCCGCCTATGAACAGCCGACTACTGGTAGTTAAGTGATGTTCACGTGAACATCGATGAGTCATTACAGTTTTAGATAGTTATAGTATAAATCTATTTATTTTTAACACGCTTTTATAAGGTGAGCCTAAATATATCTATGTATGTGTGTATGTAATGAACAATAGGCCAGTATACAATTTGTATATACAATTTGTATATTGGCCTAGGGCCTTACAAACTCATCTTTCCACGCCCTAGATACATAAGTAGCTATTCTGTTCCCATGCTTTCTGTATCATTTTTAAGGCTTCCTGGTGTCCAGTTCAAAATGCAAAATAGTCGACCTAGATCCGTTCAACGAAGAAGCGAAACTATTCTACTCCACTCAAAATTACTATAGATGCACGAGAAGAGAACTTTTAACTTTTGTTACGAAAAAGGACAATATGGCGGAGGCCACACTGCACATTAACGCATCGCTATTGTCGTCATATCATTTGGAAAATGAGCGATGTTGCTATTCGAATATAACCAGAGGTGCACACACGGATTATAAAATCAAGTACGTAATATCAATTCCAAAATATGAGGAGCACAGGGGAAAAAAGTTGAATGTCACAAAAAGCAAGATTCGAGAAAAGTGAATTTAAAAGTTGTAAGACTCCTGACGTCGTTGTTCAGGGTGGCTCAAAGATCTGGCGGAGTACCATAGATGTCTTACTGTAAGGAATTGAAAAAATTATAATCAACTGTAAATATTTTTTATATACAGGGTAGCCCAAAAGTGAAAGCATACCAAACAGTATTTTGATGGAAAATCCGTTTTATTTTTGTATTTTGAGATTTCCCCTATGATTTTGAACATTTTTCATGTGTTAGTATCCCTACCTGAATTGAACTGCAAGGAATACTATTGTAACTCAGTTTTGGTTGAACTGAGTTATAGGCATTAGAAGATTTTCTGATGAACTTCGTTGTCAGAAGAATGTCGATCTCATCAAGAATATGTTGCACATTGCAGTAATCCTTGTATATAGAAGGTTATAAATGATATTACAATACAAACCTAGCGAAGATGACATTTTTTTATAAATTTTGTTGATTTTGTTTTTCGTTAGATCAATTAAAGAAAAATTACACTTGCTCTGCACTTAGTACAATATTTATTGAAATATTGTAGTATTTTTCAAACAAGTGGTCGAAAAAACCTCTTTAATGCCAATCTGAGTCACTAAAATTATATTCATCTTCGTGTACTTCAATATCATCGTTCTCAACTTCTTTATTTTCAGCACTGTCCTCTCTGTACTTTCTTATCTTCCTTTTGGCTTCTAGAGAAAAATAAAAAACAGGTGATCATCAGGAATGCTAGGAAGACTCTTTGCTTTTGATTTACATAGTTCTAATAAACCATTTAATTTTCTAGCGTCTGCTGGAAGCAACCTTCTCCGATAAATTTTCTTCAATGTTACTATCGTGAGATCATCAGCATAGTCACACTCATATTTCATTTCAACATCTGAGGAAAAATGGACTTCCTTTATCTTATTCATTTTCAACTTTTCTGCACAATCGTCTTTGTTTACACCTTTTATTTAAAACTAATGGATCCACAACCAATCGCAGACAGCGCTGTTTCTGGCTCTTTAGCCGTCATCTGTACGATATAGGTCTGTAATATAGGTATGTGTCAGGTTCAGACTTAATATAGTAGGTCTCACAGTAAGTTAGGCGTTCCGTGATTTTTTGCATCGAAGACTAAAGTAACTCAATTTGATATAATCTTCGCTGGAGTAATGTCCAATATTATACTTACTATATGACGTAGAAGATTTACTGGGTGCCTATAGTTGCATGACTGAGATACCATTTTCTTCCACCAAAGAGAAACCGAAAAAGTCTATCGATACCATATAGTAAATCAAAAGCAACATTTTTGAGTTATTATAGTCTTCGTTGCAGGGGTGGATGCGAAAACAACCTTAACAGGAAATTTATTACACAGAGCCTAGAGTATGAGAAAAAGGTGATGTTCTGAATTCAGTAGCCCAGACACAGACTTATCTCTAATTATTTCTGCAATTGGGACAAGAAAAAACCGCGAACTTAAAAAAGCTTCATTCAAAAAAATATAGAACAAACAAAACAAAATTAATGGTAACTGGTTAAAAATGATTACTTAATGTTTATTTTTTTCGTCGCAGGTTCGTGTATTGTAAATTGTTCTAGTAGATACTAGTTTCGGTGACGATCAGTGGACGTTCGTCTTTTTTTCATACAACGGCTGTGATATTTATCTTCTTTCCCTGCACGGTAAGTCTTCAATTGGGTATAACTACGGCCTGTCATTGTTTTTTCGTGCTTCCGATACCTCATGGGTTTGTATTGCCTTAAGACCACATGTTGCCGGTTCTAATTACAAAACATTAAATTTGTGACAATCATCTTTTCCCCTGTACATATGTTATCTAACATCTACATAGAAATTTTAGAAACATACAAAAAATGGAGTTCATAGTATCAACTCAAAAAATTTTCATCTTCAACAGATTTTTCACATGCCTTTTTCCATGATGCACTTTATCCTCGCTTCTCGCTCGCGTACCGTTTCGTGAATTTTTCTCCATTAACATTATAATGTAGATGACTGATGAAAACGTGAAAATCTGCATGGACAGCAAATAGGTTATTGTCCCTATAATTTTTACAAGACACTGCTGAAACGTGCTCAATACGGACTATACGAGTGTTTAACTTTCGCTCTTTATACTCCAAGAACCATCAAGGTGTCGAAAAAACATGAGCGACCTTTTTTGGGGAACATTTTATTCTCTACAAAAGGGTTTAGTAGTATTTACACGCTTAGGCTATTAGTTTAGCCATTGTAAACAAAAATATCATTAGATATACCTTTACTATCAAATTTTTCATAACCCGTAGACCATATGGCGAATTCTTACTGAAGCGAAATGATGAAGAACTAAATTTTCGATAAAATTATTCCTATCACTTTTTTACAAGACCGATCGTTTTCGAGACTTTCGATCAAACGCGTCTATCAAAATGGCCGCAAATGCTCCAGTACTATCATGACGCCAATTTGAGCTTATCGGAAGCAATGATCCAACGATACTATCAACAAAAACTACTGTCGCTAAAAATTGTAAGAAAAAGTTACCCACTCCCTGCCCTAGATGAAGTGTTTAAAAACAGAAACACCAGTATTTACATATATCTCAAAAAATATTAATTTGAGAAGTAGACAACCTTATGCAAAATTATCTCTATTTTCATGGCTTGATATGGTCAAATTATAAAAAAGGGGTGATTCGATTTTAAAAAATGGCTTTTTGGTTTTTCTAAAATTGGAGTTTATTTTCGTTTTTTGATCACCCTTCATATTTGTTATCTAAATCAGGAATACAGTCTAGTATACGGGGGATGTCTTTTATGTTTTGCATATGTAAATAAAACAACACGGTACTTAGTTTTAAATGACTTTATTGTTTTTCGAAGTATTCTCCACCAAGACTAATACACATCTGCATGCGCTCGAACCAATTTTGGAAGCACTTATTCCACTCGTTTGCTGGCAGATCCAAAACGGCATTTTTGAATGCGTCAACTGCTTCTTCTGGTGACTGGAACCTTTGACCACGCAGCCTGTTTTTAATTTTCGGGAAAGTAAAGAAAGGGACTAGAACTTAGATCGGGTCCAATAATTCCACGTTTTCTTCCGTTAAATACTGCCTTGTTTTTTGGGATGTGTGCGAGCTTGCATTGTCTTGGTGGAGGATGATTCTTCTTACGGGGTTGACTTTTCGAAGCTCGGTGATGACTTTTCGCAAACAAATGGTGGTATACCAATCCGCAGTAACAGGTCTTTGCTCATTAAGAGGAATTGTTGCAATATGACCCGCTTTTGACCCAAATGTCGCGACCATCTTTTTCGAAACACTTCGAGAGCGGATGACTTTTGTTGGCTTTTCTTCACCTTGGAACACCCAAATAGCCGACTGTCGTTTATTTTCTGGTTCGTAACAGTAATTCTACGATTTATCACCACTAGCAATGCTGTACACATTTTTTAAGTTTCCGGAATTGAAACAGTCAAGCGTTTTTTGACACCAATTAACCCTGGCTGCTTTCTGCTCTTCAGTCAACAGGTGGGGTATCCAACGAGAAACTAATTTTCTTACTCCTAATTCTTCATGTAAAATTTTTTGAATTGAGGTCTTTGAGATCTTCAAGGACGCCTCAATCTCGCGTTATGTCACATGTCTTTCTTCAATGATGGGTTTGCGCACAGCATCGACGTTTTCCTGGGTGACTGCCGTTTTTGGTGCACACACCCTGGGATCTTCGCTAAGACTCACCCGTCCACGTTTGAGTTCTCCATACCAACGGGAAATTGTCGACTGATGTGGCGATCCGTTGCCGAAAACAGAGAGTAACTTAGCAAAGCATTCTTGTTGCGATAATTGTCTCTGAAAGTTGTAATAAATTATGGCGCGAAAATGTTCTTGGTTGAGTTCCATTTTTCTAATGACTTGGTGACACTTAAAAATTCACTGTAGTGAGAACACTGCACGTATTGTTATGAAACTTTGAATTCAAGTTTACTAAGGCCCGGATCGTCAGTCATCCCTACAATAATTGTAGGGCGCGTTTATGGCCTCCTTGATTGTCATACTCCTTTCTCTCCTTCAAAAATTTCTAGATTACACTTGTCCCGTGTCAGCGTCAGCGCTCTCCTATTGTGAAGATCTGTTTTCTTTTTAAATTGTAGGAAATTTCAAGCTGATAAAACATGATATAACTCAAAAGCGAGCAGAATTTGATGCAAATAGATGTTTTTGACATAACCTCAAAATAGAGCGCTGACACGGAGAAGTAGAAAACTATGACAATCAAGGAGGCCATAAAGGCGCCCTACAATTTTAGGGACGACTGACGATACGGGCCTAAAGAGTGAGGTTAAGATTCAGTACTGACGTTCGGTCCGCGCGCCCTACTATGTTTCTATATGCAAAACTTAAAAGACGTCAATTATAGTAGGTCCCTTACTATAAAAAACCGTTTTGAATCATATGGTAGAGGCAAACATACGAGAAAGGATTGTTATAGTTAATTGGCCTAAATTTGTTTTTTTTACGCAAAATTTGAGGTATCTCAAAAATGATTAAATTTAGATGTAGGATGATATATGCGAAATAAGCATGTCGGTATCTACTTCCGGTACAAGTGTTACCATTTTGAAAGTATTTTAGCCGAATTGCTCTCGTCATTATACTGTAAAACCAGATTTTTATAACTGTCTTAATTTATCTTTCTAGGTAAACGTTTGCTGCAGCTCTACGTCAAACGCCCAGTATACTTTAGGTTCCATTTAAGTTAAATGTTATATAATTTTGAATAAATTTCTTGTTTTAAATTTTAAAGGCATAACGGAGACAGAGTCAATCTAATTGATACCCTTTTTCTGTTTGTTGCAGCATAACGACGTGCCAAGTATTTACAAATAATGTCACAATTTATCAAGATCCTGTCTATGTGAACTGCACTGATCATAAAGGAACTTTTTACGAAAACGTCCACGTTGCTGTCACAACGACAAAACACATTCAAACAAAAATCAAAAAATCTAAAAACAAAAGACCTCTAAGCGTCCTGATGGTTGGCATCGATAGCATATCTCGCTTGAACTTTATTAGAACTATGCCCAGTACCTACAAGTACATTGCAAGCAGTGGATGGATGCCCTTGCTTGGTTACAATAAGATGGACGAAAACACCTTTCCGAATTTAATGGCAATATTGACAGGTTTTAACTCATCCACTTCGGACGAAGTGTGTAGACCGGAAATAGTCGGCAAGCTGGACACCTGCCCTATGCTGTGGTACAACTATAGCAAACACGGATACATCACAGCTTTTGCAGAAGATGAGCCGAACATTAACACATTCAACTACGCCAAAGCTGGCTTCAAAAATCCTCCTACTGATTATTATTTCAGGCCCTACATTTTGGCCACACATACCTTGACAAAATATTACATTGATTATCTAACTTATTGTACTGGCCCGGAAACTGCTGCGGAAAGGATCATGAATGTAGCTAAAGATTTTTCTGTGACCTTTAAGACATATCCATATTTAGGATTATTTTGGATGAACAGCTTCAGTCACGAAAACGTAAACTCTCCTGGTCGCATGGATACGAGAGTCCAAGAGTTTTTGGAAGCTTTAATGAAAAAGGGGGTGACAGAAGATAGTATCATAATTTTCTTCAGCGATCATGGAATGAGATTTGGAAAGATTCGTTTATACAACACTGGATGGCTTGAAGAAAGGCTACCATTCATATATTTCTCGTTTCCCACTTGGTTCAAGAAAAAGTATCCTGAGCTTATGGATAATTTCAAAAACAACACGAACAGATTGACATCTCCATACGATCTACACATGACACTGCAACATGTTTTGTTACTACAAGGGAAGATATCAGAGCTCCAACCAAGTACCGGCTGCCCAACTTGTAGATCTCTATTCCGTGAGATTCCTTATAACAGAAGCTGTGCTGAGGCTGGTATTGGGACCCACTTCTGTACTTGCCACGGATATGTACCGATAAAACTTCCTCAACATACAATACTACAAGCAGCAAAACTTATAATAGATGAGATCCACAAGCGTCTCAAGGATATACCAGTTTGTTTACCTTACACGTTCCGTAGAATCAGGAAGACAGCGATTTCTCAAAGTGATCTGCATGGCAATGAGACGTATCTACTAGTTTTGATCGAAACAATACCTGAAGCTCTCTTCGAGACAACCTTAGTTGCAAATGGTGACATTTCACAAGGGAATTTCTCGCTTGCCGGGGGTTACATCAGCAGGATAGATTCCACCAATAGTAATGATTGGTGTACAGATAAGCTCAAAAGTCTTTGTTATTGTCGCAGGAAGTCAAGATTTTTGGAAAGCCTTCCGTCTTGGTTGATGTTTTTGTCGAATCCTTTTTCGAATTCCTGAACATCAAGTACTATTTTGTTGTTTTAATAAACATTATTCAAGTAATATTTGTTGTTTCATTAGCTAGTTAGTGGTAATAATAATAATAATAATAATAATGCAACAGGGTATGGATATAATCTGAAAGACAACATGAACGCATCCATAAAACTGAACCACTTGCTGTATATGGGCGACCTGAAGGTAATAGCTGCTACTGAGAATCAAATGAAACAGCTGCTAGAGATAGTCAGTCAGTTCTCAGATGCCATAAGTATGCGATTTGGGATGGATAAATGCAAAACCTTATCTATACTTAGAGGGAACATCTACCTTGGAGGATTTTCAAGCTGCAGATGCCAAAACATTGACGCAATGGACGCAAATGACACATACAAGTACCTTGGAATGGCGCAGGCCCGAAGGATAGACCACAAAAAAATGAAGGAAGCTATATCGCAGACCTTTACAAAAAGAATACGGCTACTTCTGAAAACAGAACTCAATAGTAAGAATCTAGTCAAGGCGATTAACACCTACGCATGCCCTGCCTTGAACTTAGTAGCTCTGTGGAGCAAAACTGACATCGAGAAACTAGAGAGGCGGGTAAGGACTATGCTAACAAAAAAAAGAGCGCACCATCCTCGCAGTGCAATAGAGCGCACAACCTTACCCCGATAGTTAGGAGGAAGAGGTCTTATTGGTAGACGAGATGACCAACCGAGTCACCAGACCAACGAACAGAAGCTACAACGATGGATTGAAAAACCTCTACATGGGAGACATGCAAAGGAGATTAGCCAAGAAAACGTTGACAAGAAAGCGTCAAACTATTGACTTACCTCAGGCCAAATGTTCCCTGAGACTGAGGGATTCCTTGTAGCTATACAGGACCAGGTCATCCCTACCAACAATTACAAGAGGTTCATACTTAAGAACTTGCAACCGTCTGATAAATGCAGGTACGGCTGTCAGGACTCCGAAACAACACAGCACGTAACTGGTGGATGCCAAGCATTCGTTCCAACGGACTATAAGGAGCGCCACGACATAGCTACCAAAATCATTCACCAGGAGTTGGCATACAAATTCAAACTGATCGAAGGCAAGCTACAGTACTATAAATATACACCGCAATGTGTCCTCGAGAACGACAAGTATACTGGGATCGCGCTGTGCTTACGGACCAATACATAAAACAAAACAGGCCTGACATAATCATTGTCGACAAGGGCGCCCAGAAAGTAACACTGATTGATGTGGCCATACCTAATAGTAACAATTTAACATACAAACATAATGAGAAAGTTGCAAAATACAGGGAGCTAGAATTTCAAATTAAACGCCAGTGGAAAATAAAGTACGTGGAGACAATACCATTAATAATGTCATCTACAGGGGTGATACAAAGAAGCCTGCTAGGAAACATCAAAGCGCTGGAACTGAGTGAAAACATTTACAAAATCATACAGAAAGGAGTTTTGCTAGCAACTGCCCGCTTAGTAAGAAAATTTATGGGAAACGCAAGTACCTAGTGAGGTCACTATTGAGGCTTATCCCTTTGATGCTTGAAGCGTCCGGGTTAAGCCAGAACACCCCGATTAACGGGAGTAACAAAGCCCTACGGCTATAAAAAAAATAATAATAATAACCCTTGTGGGGTTTCTGGTTCCCCATAGGACGCCTCCCCAGGCGGTGGATAGGGACACGCTTCCTAGATATGGGAAGCACCTTGGTAACAAGGGGCGAGCCAAGACCAGCAGAGGTATTTCTGTCACCATGTTAGGTGCGGTACGTCGACAGCGTCTGCTCCCCAAGTTAGGGGCGGCTGGTAATGAGGCTGTCGGAGGCCTGCTTGGCAGAGCTCTAAACTGCTACCCTGAACGGTGAAGTGATGAATCAAACAGAAAATGAAAGGAAGACATACCTGCAAACGACCAAGACAACGGAACCGGAAATGATACATAAATGTATATTCACAAAATCAAATGATGATTGGGAGGTATATAAAACTCTTAGGAATAACTGTGTGTATGTAATTAGAGAAGAAAAAAGGAAATTCTACGATAAACAAATGGATAATAACAAGTGCGTCAGTGTAAAGATGTGGAAGACTTTAAAAAGACTGATCAATTCGAAGCCGCATGATTGTGTAAATCAAGTTCAATTCGAAAACGGTACCGAAACAAATTCTTTGGTGATTGCAGACAAACTAAATGAATATTTTGTGGAAAGTATTGTTGATATTGTGGGTACTGCCAATACAGCACCTGACTATATGAAAATCAGTTTCCAGGGGGAAATGTTGCATACACTTTCAAAATTTCACAGTGTATCATCGAATTATCTAAGAAAAAAAGTAAACAGTTTAAAATCAAATAACAACTGTGCCGAAATCACTACTAAAAACGTGCTGAAAAACTGTTTCGAAATTTTGGGATATCCTTATTAAATTGGATCAATTGTTCACTGAGAAACAGTTCTTTTCCTGAAGATTTGAAATGCTCTACAATAACACCAGTTCCCAAAATAAAAAATGCTAAAAGATGCATCGATATGAGACCAGTAAATGTGTTACCAGACATTGAAAACTTATTAGAGTCCATAGTGCATGACCAATTAATGCAGTTTATAGAAGAAAACAAAATCTTAGTGGAGGCGCAAGCAGGTTTTCGAAAAAATATTCCACAGAAACGGCTTTCCAGTTGGTAACTGAGAATTGGAGAAGAGCCATAGACTCAGAAGAAGTTGTCATAGCAGTATTTTTGGATTTGGAGTGGGCATTTGACGATTGATAGAGATATTTTGTTAGGTAAATTGAAGGCATATGGTATAACAGGAAGTGTTTTAGATTGGTTTAGAAATTATTTGTCTAAAAGGATGCAAGTTACAAAAGTTAGTGACTCTATTTCATCAAAAATTGAAAATACGTTGGGTGTTCCACAGGGCAGTATCCTGGGACCACTTCTTTTTATTTTATACATAAATGATTTACCTACCATAGTCAAAAAATGCAAAGTTCAGATTTTCGCCGATGACACTATGATTTATATAAGTACTAAAAATATTCAGTCTGGTATCTCTTATATAAATGAAGACTTGAAGCTTGTCTCAAAATGGTTAGCATCTAACAGACTAAAATTAAATGCAAGTAAAACGAAAGCCGTGTTAATCGGAAAAAGACAATGTACAAATGTTCAACTGAATATTGATGGTGAAGATATTGAATGCGTAGAAAATTTTAAATACCTGGGGGTTTTTGTTGACTCTCGATTAATTTTTGATATTCATTATGAAAAAGTTATAAATAAGATTAGTAGTAAAATGGGATATTTATCGAGAGTTTCTGGATGTCTGAGTTCATATAGCAGATAAATTATCTATAATACCATCATTCTTCCAAATTTCTTGTACTGTTCGACTATTCTATATTTAGCAAATAATACCATTTTTGAAAGACTGCAAATTTTACAAAATAAATGCATGAGAATAATACTAAATAAAGATAAATATACTCCAATTAGGCAAATGCTTAGCAAATTAAAATGGCTCAATGTAAAAATGTTTATCAAATATCTTGTAATGATATTCATTTATAAAGTAAAAAATAATATATTTCCATCAAGTCTAACTAATTTAACATCATCAAATGTCGACCATCATTTACATAATACCAGAAATAAAGATGACTTCCATTTAATGACCAAAAAGTATAACATATGCTACAAATCTGTATTCCATCAAGGTTTGATTGAATATAATAAATTATACTCAGAGATAAAAGACCAGAAAACTTTGACAAAATTTAAAGTAAAATTGAGAAATCACTTGTTAAATCTACCATTATAGGTTGCCCAGCATATGGCTTGAATTTACTAGTTCTAAATCGTTTACAATTATTCTGTTTATGTAGCCAAATGTGCTAAATAAATCTTTCTACTACTACTACTAGATATCAGAGTAGCAACCATACCCAGACCTCTCCTTAATCTGGCCTACATGATAACATAACATCTACGTCTACTGTCAAAAAAGAAAGATACTATGCCGATTATACTAAATTGGAAGGTGGAGTTATCAAGGGTACATATTCAATATGTAGACGCAGGAATCTAGATATATTCCCTAACATCAATCCAAATACTCTCGCCAATCAACGTCGTTATATCCTAAGGGGAAGAAAGTTGACCGAGCCAGAACTTGAACGAATAAAGGAATGTGTTCATGAAGAGCTTTGAATACATATAGACATATACACCACAAAGAGGGACTAAAATCGAACAGAGCTATACAAAACAACTAGCACCAATTCAATCAAACAACGAAGATGACGGTGAAGCGGCGGAAGTAATAATGAAGTGCAAGATATTACTAGAGTTTGACACAATCAAGGGCCTTGAGTTTGAACAACGGACGGACTTCCGCGCGTTGGCCTAGCCCAGACATTGAAGCACGAAATATCAGTAGCTAACAAGGCGCTAAAGATAATATCACAAGAGAAAATGCCAAACCTAACCGATATCAACAGACGCATGTATTCCACAGCAAGTGACATAGCTGGTGAACTAAATACAAGGCAGAGGGCAGACGCTATTACAGTGGAGTTCCCATGGAGGAGACGGATAAAAAATTATCATCCATGAGTACAAAAAACTAGGCGCCTCCCAGAAGGTCAGACATAAATTCAACTCCTTGAAGAGTGTCTATAAGGGAAATATGAGCCTGCAAGAACTAGAAGCAACACATTAAGATGAAAATCGCAGCATAAACACAACGTCTCACCCGGTATACCAAGAGGAGTAACCATTACCATCAAAACAACACGTTCAACAAAGACACCAAAAAATTCTACAGACAGCTTAACAGCCAAAACAGGGAGGTACTGAATCCTCCGCTACAACCTCAGGTTGAAACCTTCTGGACGGGTATCCTTGAACAGGAAGTTCACCATAAGCCCGCCTCATAGATTGAACGTGAGAGGAATGGCTCTGAATACATTGAGCCCATAACATGGCAACAGCTTTCAATAGAAGAAATACAACAAGCAGTAAACAAAACGCAAAACTGG